TTTTGATGGAATTCATAGAGTGGATAATCATGATTCTGATTGTTTTGTGGTGCTGGTATTACAATTGGTTGATGAATTAAACTTATAAAATTCTTCTCTTGGGTTGTATTTGTTTGTATGGCAGAAGTATCAATTGATTGGTGTCTGCTGTTTGGTTTATTTTATACACTACGTATCATATAACAAAATTTTCAATCAAGTTTGATGCAATTGTCTATTTTACTTGTCAAACAACAACATATAAGTTTTGTAAAATGTAGGCACTTCAATGCCAATAATTTTATAGCAGAATTGTGCAATTAGTTTACTGCATAGATGTGGATATTTAAGAAAGAAGATAAGAAAATGTCTACTCAATTTATGTAAATAATTTTATCAAGATTAATTACATATACAATAGAATTGTGCAACTAATAACAACACCAATCATCCTATTACCAACATAAGAATTAGCAAAATTATGACATTAACAACAACAAGAATCATCTAAACAACAATAATAAAAGGAAAGCAGTACCAGAAGCAATAAGAAAATAGAGAAGCAGAATCCTACATAAACAAAATCAATTAACAATAGAAGAAACTCGGTAGCAAAAATGTGTAGCAACACAAACAAATAACAATAACACCAGTAGCAGTAGCAACCAACAATAGCCGTGAATCAATACCAAAAGTGTGTAACAACAACAGTAGCAGAAGCAAAAACAACTGATAGTTGCAGCAGTAGAAAAAGCATGCAACAGTAGAAACACCGGTAGCGGAAGCGTGTAGCAGCAGTAGAAACAACAAACAATAAACGAGAATCAATAGCAGAAGTGTGTAGCAGCAGAAACAAAAATGATTGACAATTGCAGCAGTAGCAAAAATATGCAATAGTAGAAATTTCCAATCCAAGTCATATGTATCCATTCCTTAAGTCTTCTCGTACGGCTGAGAACTTTGAGCTTTTATTTTTGTACTATTTGAACTTTTTCCTATAACAATAAATTGAAAATATGAACATCAATGAGATAAAAAATTATATATTTAAATCAAAATTAATAAATCTTCAAATTTAAAGTATATTAATATTTTTAAACGCAATTAAATATTACCTTTTTTTTTTCTTTTTGAGATCCTAATGGTTGGCCAAACGAGCATTGCTAACTTCTCTTGGCTTGACATAAAGAGGATTATAAACATTTTCCTCACTATTGGTGCAACTACCAATATTTGAAGCTTCACCAGTATAATTTTCAGGCTGACAATCATCTTTATACACTTTTAATTCATCAAGTAATATTTTTAATTCAGAAATAACACCCTCAAGCCTATCTCTCAATAAATTTCTAGCCTCCGGGTAGGCTTTACTTTGTATACAAATATCTTGACAATGTCTCATTATATGGTTAACATATACTATTTAAATGCATTTTCTCCTCTATATTGCATTCTATTACTCGCATGTATAGTCCACCGTTTCTTTATATATTGTAATGGTATCTCATGGATATTCATTTGTTTTAAAACTAATAACGAATGCTTACATAATATAACAACTGACTCATAATATTGACACGAGCACTTTATATCATTATATGTCGCATAAAATTTAACCTTGTGGAGCCGATTTGTATTTTGAGATCGTATATTGAACTCAAAGAATGTATTGTAATTAGCAGGTTGCCCATCAAAATCAATAGATAGAGAATTTAATAATTGTAGTTGGAACATATCATATTTTGTGAGTATAAATTGATGCAACATGTTTTAACAATGAGGTATTAACAACCAGTGTAGGTGCTCCTTGGCTACATTTGAAATCATCTTCATTTTCATCCTATCGCCACTTATTTTGTATTCTATCAAATATTTGTACGCATTCAAAAAGAGTATGTGTTTTTCTACCTTCTCTCTTGTTATAAAACAGAATTTGTGCCTTCACTTCTTGAAGTACCTTTTAGTCCCGCATTAAATCTATGTTTACTAAATGCAGTAGACCATTTATGTCATAATTTATACATGTTATTAAGCCATGAATTATCATGAAGATTATAATAAACAATTATTTTCTCCCACACTTCTTCAAATTCTTGCTCAAACTCACAAAATTTCATGCATTTATTAAATAAATTTTTAAATTCAGAATTATTATTTAAAACACCAAAATGAGATGGAGCATTTTGATTAATATTCCATTGGCATAATCGATGATGCGATAATGGAAAGACAAACTCAATGGCATTAATCATAGCTTGACATTGATCTGAATTTTTTTTTTTTTTTCAGGTTGTTTATCACTCATGGATGTAAGAAATATACTAAACAACCAATGAAAAGAAGATTTAGTTTCATCCGATATAAAAGCTAATCCAAATAGCACATTATGCATATGATGGTTTATGCCTACGAAAGGTGCACATTTTAAATTATATTTGTTTGTTCAATAAGTGGTATCAATCGAAAGCACATCACCAAAAGTCTCATAATCTATTATACAACAACCATCTCTAAAGAAAAAATTATACATCCTACCATTGACATCAACTTGAAAATCCCAGTGAAATAATTTATCTTCATTTGATTTTTGTTTAAAATACCGAATTAACTCTTAAGCATCACCATCCTCAACTTGCCTATGAATTTTACTAAGACGGTTAACGTAATCATATGCATCTTTTTTAAAAAACCCAAAATTTTTCCATCCATGTGATTCTTCTTGCAAATAAGAATAAGCATTAGAAATTGAAAATCCAACACGTACTAATGACATTAATGTATTTCCTTTAGCATCAGAAATACTACGTGCCGTTCTTAACATGTATCTTTGATCGGGTAAAGCCAATTGATGATAATGCTTAATGTTAAAAATAGTAACTCTCCATTCTTCATTTCTTTTACGTCTAATTCTAAGTCTCGCAGTACACCCAGTTCGAATTTATAATTCTCAGTAGTTAAATTTGTTATTTTTACCAATATATTTTCTATCTTTCATCCCACTACAAGAACAATCAAATTCTTTCATATATAACTTTTTTCTATTATCATGAAAAAATTCTTGTTTTCCCTTTCGGACACTAAAACCCTTACAATGTCCATATTCACAATAAATTAAGTATGCATTTTCAGGATCACTTATAATTTATAATTTCTCCAACTGCCAATTGTTTTTCAAATTTAACAAATATGGAATCATTAATTACCTGTGATAATGAACCAGAATGTGTAGATGTAACTTCTTGCACGTTGTCATTTGCATCAAGTACTTCTTTATTTCGATCTTGAGAACCTTTTTTTTTTTAAAAAAAATAATATTAAAAGTACATACAAAATACATTATATCTAACATTATATATTTTTATACAAACTTGTGATAATAATATCATTCTTAATAGCATGTGAATCATATGCCACTCCCGTATCCATTTTAAGATGCTATCAAGGAACCCAAAATTAAAAAATCGACAGACTTAGTTGGAAATTAAAACAAAATCTAAAAAAATTATAAAAAATAAGAATATCTGAAAAATCTACAATTTCTCAATTATTTTTGTTTTTTCTTACCAATGAAGAAAATGAAATCCAATGACCAATCCTTTCCAAAGAACTTGCGATTAAAAAAAAAAAATTAGAGGTTTTTCGATGTCTGAAAAAATTGAGTGAGAAAAGATAGAAGAGAGCAAAAGAAGAAATCAACCAACTTGGAAGATAAAATACCCAAAAAATTTCTTCCCGTTGATGGCCGTGGAATCGAAGAGTCTGGTTTACAAGAAAGAAAAAAAAGATTTAGAAGAAAAAAAAGAAAAAATCAAACAAATCTGCAATAATGTAATTTTCTTTAATTATCCTTTTAAGAAAAAATAATTTTTCCAGATTGCAACACTTGTCGCAATCTGGGCACCCGAAACATGCAGGATCGAACAAGCCGTAATTAAGGTGTGAGATGTAATCAGGGGGTGGTTCGAATATTGTTCAGCTAATGCAGGTAAAGTGATGAGGGGTAGTTTGCTTGTTACTGATGTGTCCTTTGTTACGTTGTAGGGGACTTTTGAGTTTTAGTGGATGTAATGGCTAGGTGGTTGCAGAGGCTATTGAAAGTGAATTTGTGTTGATTTGGTTTGGGGGATAGTGATGGAGATGCAGCTAAGATTCAATATTCGGAGAAGATCGATCCAACTGTGTTAAAATTTTAATTATCTAATATATTAATTTTTTATTTTTATGTTTGACCTAAATATGTTGGACTTTTGTTATTGATCTTGTTTGCATTTTCTTTAGTATTTATACCCTAAAAACATCCATTGCTAGGGTTGAAAGATTGATAATAAGAAAATACAAAGTGTTTATCCCTTTCAGTTGTAATTCATCCTAAGTCTATATGCGCCTCGTGACACCGCACTCGCGAATAGATTGGATGAATTGACACAACAATTGGGAACCGTTGTTCAATTACTTCAACATCAGGCTGAGCGCGCACAACCTCCACTGGCGGCTGACCATCCTCCCCCATGTCGTGACTAGCGCAACACCAATCAGCCTCCTCTCCCGTTTGATGCGCCATCGTCGATTGATGAAGTTATGCTCGAAAACCCATTTGCCCCCTTCCCGGGCCGCAAAAATTGTGGTGCCGACACCGATCACAAGTGGGAAAATAGTTTCAAACTTGATCTCCCCGAATTCAATGGTGGATCACAACCTGACGATTTCCTCGATTGGCTTCTCTCGGTGGAAGAAGTCCTTGACTTCAAGGACATCCCTACGAATCGTAGGGTGGCTCTTGTCGCCACCCATTTTTGTGGCCGAACAGCATCTTGGTGGCATCAATTGAAGGCCTCTCGCACACGCTGTGGCAAATCCAAGATCGCCTCTTGGGAGAAATTCACAAAACATCTGTGGACTGAATTTCTGCCTTATAATTACTCGCGCACCCTGTTTCAAAAATTGCAAAATCTATGCCAGGGGATGCGCACAATCGATGTCTACACAGAGGAATTCTACCAGTTAATTTTCTCGAATTGAGTTGAATGAATCCGAAGATCAGTTAATTTCGCGATACATCGGGGGTTTACGGGTTAATTTTCAGGATACCCTGAACATGTTCTCACCGGAAACTGTCTCTGAAGCGCACCAGCGAGCCTTGTTATTGGAACGCCAACTAGCGCGACGTTTGTCACCCTCCATCTTTACACCGTCACCCGCACCTGCGTCTTCAAGTTTTGCAGCGCCACCAGCTTCATCGTCCAGCCGCTGCCCGACCGCGCTCCTCGATGCCTCACCCTATAGGGCCTGCTCGCGGTCTGTGTTTTGGGTGTGGTAAATTTGGTCACAGATTGATTTCTTGCCCCAAGTCTACACGTGGACTTTTCATTGCCGATTCTGAGATTTCAAATGATACCCAACTCCATTTTGACGCCATTATAGAAGAGAATGTTTCTGCAATTTTTTTTGCTGGTGACACAGGCCCATCTCTGCTTGTAAAAAGATCATTCCTTGCTCCCAAAGGTCCGGTTGATGAGGTACAACGCCAGACATTATTTTATTATACGTGCACGGTTAATGGCAAAGTGTGTTCTTTCATTGTTGATTCTTGCTTTGTCAGAATGTCATTTCCAAATCTGCAGTGGATAAACTATGTTTGCCCTCTGAATCCCACCCTCACCCTTATAATTTGTCGTGGTTGGAATGTGGTAATCATGTACATGTGGATAAATGCGTCTTGGTTAAATTTTCTGTGGGCGACACATACGTGGACTCTATTTGGTGTGATGTAGTCCCCATGGATGCGTGTCAGATTTTGCTTGGTCGACCTTGGCAGTTTGATCGCAATGTGATCCACGATGGCCGTAAATATACTTACAGCTTTATTTTTTCTGGCGTTAAGATTGTGAAACTACCGTCTGTGCTGAAACTTCTAACTCCGGTTTCTCCTGCTAAGGTTCTTTTTCTGAATTATGCTACCTTTCTTGAGGAAATGTCTGCAGCCCCTATTACACTCTTATTGCTTGGGCATGATATTTGTGAGTCCTCTGACATTCTTTCTACAGCGTTGCCTATTATTGAGGAATTATGTGATGTATTTCTTGATGCCCTACCGGAAGGCTTACCACCTCTTCGGGATATTCACCATCAAATTGATCTGATTCCCGGAGCTCCTCTTCCTAACCGACCGCATCATCATATGAGTCTTGTTGAGCATGAGGAACTTCGACGCCAGGTAGAAGACCTGCTTCGCAAGGGCCTTGTCGCCAGAGTTTGAGCCCTTGTGCTGTTCCTGATTTGCTCATTCCAAAAAAGACAGGCGAGTGGCATTTGTGTGTTGATAGCCAGGCTATCAATAAAATTACTGTGCGTTACAGTTTTTCCATTCCTCGTTTGGATGACCTCTTGATCAATTGGCGAGTGCTGTGATATTTAGTAAATTGGATTTACACAGTGGGTATCACCAGATCTACATTAGGCCTGGTGACGAGTGGAAGATGACTTTCAAGACTCGTGAAGGTTTATTTGAGTGGCTGGTCATGCTTTTTGGCTTATCCAATGCGCCGAGTACTTTTATGCGTGTTATGAATCAATCTCTTCGTCCGCTGATTGGCATTTGTGTGGTGGTTTATTTTGATGATATTTTGATATACAACAGATCCGACACCGAGCATGCAGCCCATCTTCGGGCTGTTTTGTCTATCCTTCGCGCTGAGCGTTTTTTTCCCTCACCGGCGAAGTACACTTTCTTCACTACATCCGTGTTATTCTTGGGAAATTGCATTTCTGCGGATGACATAAAGGTAGATGAAGCAAAAATTAATGCTATTCGGGATTGGCCAACACCTACTTCTCTCACAGAGGTTCGGAGTTTTCATGGCTTAGCATCCTTTTACAGGCGTTTCATTCGACATTTTAGTACTATTATGGCTCCTCTTACCGACACTCTACATGGTAAGAATTTTTCATGGTCATCTGAAGCGGAGGCTGCGTTCCATGAGATGAAACATCATTTGACCACTGCCCCCCTTCTCGCTTACCAGATTTTTCGACCCCATTCGATTTGTTCTGTGACGCTTCTAAGGTTGGGATTGGGGTTGTTCTTTCACAAGCTGGTCGTCCTATTGCCTTTTTTAGTGAGAAACTTAGTGGTGATCGTACTCGATACAACACTTATGATGTTGAATTTTATGTTCTAGTTCGTGCAATTCGGCATTGGCGTCATTATTTATTTCACCGCGAGTTTGTTCTCTACACTGACCATGAAGCACTAAAGCACTTGGCTTCTCAGGATTCTCTGTCTGCACGGCATGCTAAGTGGGTTGCCTTTCTACAGCAATTTACTTTTATTGTGTGGCATCATGCAGGGGCAGACAACAAGGTCGTCGATGCTCTTAGTCGGCGTCATTTATTGACTGATATGCGTATTGAAGTGACAGGTTTTGACATGTTTCGGGACCTATATACTTCTGATCCTTTCTTTGAACCAATTATTGCCCTCTTGGATCGAGGTGCTTACGACAACTATTCTATTATTGATGGATTTCTATTTCGGGGCCTTCATTTATGCATTCCGGTATGTAGCTTACGCCTATACCTTATTGCTAATATTCATAATGTGGGACATGTTGGTAGCTATCGCTCTGTTGAGCTTGTGAGTCGACGCTTCTTTTGGCCGACCCTCTATCGGGATGTATCCGGCTTTGTTATTCGGTGTCACATCTGCCAGGTGTTGAAAGGCACTACCACCAATGCGGGTTTGTATCATCCCTTGCCAGTCCCTTCTCGTCCATGGACTACTATCAGTATGGATTTTTTCCTCGGCCTCCCCAGCACTCAACGTGGACATGATTCTATTTTGTTGTCGTTGATCGGTTTTCTAAGATGGTTCATTTCCTTCCATGCAAACGCACCTCTGATGCAGTGCATGTCATGACTTTATTATTTTGCGATATATTTTGTTTGCATGGTTTACCGCTTTCTATTGTGTCGGATCGCGATTCCTGCTTTCTCGGGTATTTATGGCGTTCTCTTCAGCGCATGGCTAACACTAATCTGAATATTAGCCGTGCATATCACCCTCAAATTGATTGCCAAATTGAGGTAGTAAACCGTTCTTTGGGGAATATGCTCTGATGTTTGGTTGGGGACAACCTGAAGACTTGGGATCTTAAATTGTGTATTGCCGAGTTTGCTCATAACCAAGCTTTGAATCGTAGCACATGTTTCTTTCCCTTTTTGGTGGTTTATGGATTTGTGCCCCGTGCGCCTATTGATCTTCTCAATTTTTCGTCCAACGTCCCTGCTGATACGCGTGCCATCGATCTCATCGAGAAAATCCAACAGATTTATGCGACAACACATACCCACTTGGAAGCTGCAAACTCCGAATATAAACTTGTTGTTGATGCAAAACGACGCGATGTTCAGTTTGAGGTTGGTGATTATGTTTGGACAATCCTTACTAAGGATCATTTTCCGGCCCACGAGTACAGTAAGTTGGCATCTTGCAAAATCGGGCCTTTTGAGATTGTCAATAAGATTAATCCTAATGCTTACCGTCTTCGCCTTCCCGGTCACATTCACACATCAGACGTCTTCAATGTCAAACATCTAGTCCCTTACCATGGTGATTCCTCTGATGAAGATGAAGTTGTGTCCGATTCGAGGGCGAATCGTGTGAAGAAGAGGAGAATGATGCAGATGAAGCCGCAATTCAATATTTGAAGAAGATCGATCCAACTGTATTAAAATTTTAATTATATAATATATTAATCTTTTATTTTTATGTTGGACCTAAATATGTTGTGCTTTTGTTATTGATCTTGTTTGCATTTCCTTTAGTATTTATACCCTAAAAACATCCATTGCTAGGATTGGAAGATTGATAATAAGAAAATACAAAGTGTTTATCCTTTGAGTTGTAAGATAGTCCCATTGGTTATGTTGATTTTGGAATATAATAATATGTTTGTTTTTTTTTTAAAAAAAAACAACCTTGATTCACTCACAATTTTATTATTTTCATTTAACAAAAAAAAAAAAACAACCAAGTTATCATTGCTTTTGGCATCATCTTTTTTTATTATTATTTTTATTCTTTAATATTTTATATTACTCTTATTTTACTTTTTATCTACCTTACTTTTATATAAAAATATTATTACTTCGTGCCCAAGTAAAATTACATAATTAGTCGGGACGAAAAGAGTATTTAATAAATCTAATATGTTGAAAATTTATAATTTTAATATTTAAATTAATTAAAAATTCCTAAAGGAAATTTTTAATAATTTTAAATTATATTAAAATTAATAATAATTTTTTAAATTGTGTAATATTTTTATTAAATTTATTTTTTATATATTTTATTTTAAGAAATTATATATATATATATATAAGATTAGGGTAATATTAATAATTGAGCATGAATCGTAACAATCGCACACAACTTATTTGGAGTATGAAAGTATGAAAAATATAAAGATAAATTTATTTCTTTGAATTCATTTTATTATTCCAAAGAGTATATGTTTGTGACATATATTATTTAATTTAAAATTAAAATTTTCTAAGCTATCATAAAATTTAATTTTATTATCATATAGTATTTTTAAATATAGATATAAATATTTAAAATACATAATCATATTTTTATAGTTATTAAAAATACTTATAAATAAAAAAAATAAATAGAGTGAGTATGACGAGTGCTACTTCTGCGCACAAACCTTTTCACCGGAGCTAATAAAGAACATGCTCTCATCAGGTTCCTTAATTTCCTCTTTCTTTAGGGATTGACGGAAATCAATCAAATTCCAGGATATCTACTACTACACATATAATATAACAATTATCATGCATACTTTAAATGTCGGTGTTTGTACTCGAAACACATACTTACATACTTGTTTCAAATAACGACATACCCAAGCACAAATCTTATGTACCCATTCTTAAAGAGTATTAAAATACAAAAATACACGTTTTTAAGAATTCAATGGAGCATCATCATACACACGAACGGACCAGGAAGGGGCAGGGGCAACTGACTCCCAAACCCAATTTTTTTTTAAAATTTTTTTAAAGTAAAAATAATTTTTTAATTTAATTATGTAGTTTTGCTCCACGGCCCCATTCAAAAAATCTATTGCTCTATTTTGTCCCTAATTTTATTATTTTAATTCATAATATTATATAATAATTTTAATTATAAATATATTATATAAAAAATATAATATTTTATTCTAAATATTACCATAGTTTTATCATTCTTTTCCATTTTATTTCGTCTTTCTCTATATAAATTTTTTCCTTTATAATTTCACTATAGTTTTAAAATGAATTAAAGAAGATAAAGCAACGTTGATTTAATGGAATAAAATATCGAAAAACAACGATTCAAATTATGCTAAAATTGAAATCGAAAAAAAAAAAACTAACATAACAACTTCGCCAACCCCCTCCCCTTCCCCCGAAGTTCGAAAGATAGTTCCGTCATTGATCATACATATACAATAAGTATTCAATATTTACTTATGAATGGTAAATGAAGTCGCAAAGAAATTAGTTAAAATATTTTCCATTACTAGGCTACACTCCCGCTACTACGAGATTATTAAACAGTTGATGCATTTTGAATTCATTCTTATAAAGTAACACAAGTATGGTTAGAATTATGCATGAAGTTTTAATAAATTTGAGTTAATATGATCAAATGTTCATGATATACTTTTAGTGACATTTTATATACCTGCATAGTACTCATGTAAATGCCCTCAATTAGAATATATATGCTCATATGCGTTGTCAATGCACTCATAACATAAAGTCCACATTGGTTTATGGTTGGTCGACAACCCAATTTTTCAATAATGCATACTATATTGAGATAACAATTTACTATTCATTATCGTCCAATTTTTTTCATACCTGAAGGTAGGTCAGATGATATAGTTTACACAAAAATAAGTATGAATAGCTTTACAATCTCTACTGCAATGTCATTAAATGTATTGCATGACTTGTTCAATATGTAGGTACAATGGTTGAACTTTTTATCAAAGTATGACAAAGGATAATAGAGGATATGCTCTCACCAAGTTTCTTTATGCCCCTTCTTTTAGAGAATTGACTAATGTTACAAGAAATCAATTACATTCACGGATAACTGGTACATTACAGCAAATACCTTAGATATAAATATATGTATACCTCTTTTGTCAGTAGTGTTTATACTTGGTACACACATTCATGTACCTACACACACTATACTTATGTTGCGGTTTTCTAATTATGTATCTATAATATGATATCAAATGCACCGTGACACATGCTTATGCCCAATGAACCTTACTTGAGAAACCGATCATTTTGGGTACCATATAATCACTTGTTAATGGTAACAGGGGATAAATTTAACAGGATAGTATTCTCACTAATTCTTAGAGAGTACTAAAATAAAAAAGAGTATACATTTATAAGAATTCAATGCATAAACACCATTATACATATATAATAAATATCCCAAATCTATTTGTGAATGGTAAACAAAGTCATTAAAAAATAGTAAGTGGAACAACAAATTTTAGTCTTGTTCTTGTTCATTGCTTTTATCATTTTTTTGGAATTTTTTTTCCTTTAAATCTAGTTAGCTTGTTTGCAAATATGCAACAAACCATGAAGATAAGGTCAGTTATATAATAATATTTTCATTAATTTATTATATGACAAACTTAATTATTTACATACTGACCTCATTCTTGAACGACATAATATGAGTTTTCCTTCGCCTCACTTCCAATTTTGATGTCATCCATCATCTATAATTAGAAAATGCAAATGTGTAAGTCGCTCAGTCAAGCTGCATGCATATGAATAAATGGTTTCACAAACTATTTGCATTAATTTCTTTTTATTCACCATGTTGTGTACTTAAAAAAGGATAACCAAAACAGTACCTTATGATTTCATCTTCTGCACCCTTAGTTGTTGTGACAATAGTGTAAAAAGTATTTCATGTGCACCAATCAAACCTGTTCAAAAACGAAAGAATTTACATAATTAATGGTGCATGGGGTGGTGTACATACGTATCATCATAAACATGAATATTGTAGAGTCCATCCTACTTTAACTAGAAATGTAATCAGACACATGCATGTTTCTCAATTCTCACATTTTCCCTCACGTTACTAAAATATTTGTAAGTGTTTTTCATTAGCTATGTTTCACCCAGATAAAAAATAGACATCTGAATCCCGCACGCTCTCTTACATATTCATATCTTAATAAACACTACCGATTCTTTCAACTTTTCCGGCATCACACAACCCTTTAATGATCGAAACAAATGTTGAAAACACCTAATTAGAGGTGTTGTGAATTTGTTCCCGGATTTTTTTTGGATTTTTCGAACAAATACCTTGTATACAAAATACAAATCTAATTAATAGCGAAAACGAATTCGAATAAAACCCAAATTAAACTAAACTAAAATCGAAATGAAATTAACACAATTAAAGCAAAGGCATAAACTAGAATTTGACAATTGAAACCACAAACAAACAGTCCCTTAACCAATTGAATTAAATTGGATGTTAAAATTAAAAAGGAAGGAAACTTTCCGTTCGTGTGAATGATATTAGCCACGGAATCAATTCTTGTTTCCAGACCCTAATCAATTCACGATGCCCACGGACAAATCGACGACGTCAACATCTCTTCGATGGAGACACTCCTTCCGGCAACCGACTGCAACTCTGGTCTCCTTTGACACCAGGCAGGCAGCAGACGGCTTCTTCTCCAACAGCTCCGAACTATTTCACCGATCTTCTTGCCTGCGATAGGGACGACGATGTTCGGCTCAGATCCTTCGTGCACGGCTCAACACTCTAAACCTCAACACACACCGGAATTGGTTATCGGAAAGAACTTTTAATCTCACCGGAATACATAGGTTTCTCTCATGTCCGTCTCTTCTCACCCTCCCTCTGATTTTCTCAACTCTCGGTCGGTTTTTTCTTCTCTACACCAACTGATTCACACCTAACCCCTTCTCTATAACCTCACGCTTTCACCGTCAAACACTTGTAAATCAAGCGGTGAGACATTCCTGGTTTGAGGGTTGGGTCCTAAGTTCAATCTTGGGTGAGTGGACATATGTGCATGTATTGGGTGAAATTTTCGTCCGATGGTGTGAGTGTGTGTAAACAGAAAAATAATAATAATAATAAGAAAACCTCACGGTTTCACACCCAAAAACACACCTAACAAATCATCAAACTAGATTACTTCAAATTGGGCCAAGGTATAAGGCTTGGGTTTAGTAATATACGAATGGGTTTAGAGGTTTCGGTAAAAGGGTTGGCCGGTGAGCCGGGCTAAGGAGTGAATCAACTAATTTTATTTACCGAGAAACTCGTTGGATTAAGCCTCGAATGACCAAAATTCCCAACAAGAAGCAATATCATTTTCATTAACACATTTATACTCATATAGGTGCAAGAATAAAAACTAATGTGCACATAAGTCTTTTTTTACTTTTTTCTAATGTGTAGCGCAGTGCAAACAAAAAATAAAAATAAAAACAAACAAACAAATTATTTACTAAGATAATAAGAAATAAGGATTTCTTAGTGGAAGAAAATACTTAGTCTCTAGTCACTAGTCAGTTTAAAAAGAATGAAGGATGTCTTTAGCATATATATATATATACATAATATTGTTGATGTATTTTTTCAATAATAAAAAAGTAAAATCCGAAAATAGGAGATTATCTTCGAATTTGATATATTTAGCGCCTGAGATTAGAAATCTCTAAACACTGTACGGTATAGAAAATTAACTGGAAAGTAAAATACTGGAAATTTAAATGATGATCCCCGAATCTCTTGACTTTGATGTCGATTGAAGATGAT